AAAGCATCCTGTTAGTTTGATTTGTTTTGATTGGCAGCAAATTCCAATCTTGTAAAAATTTAGATTAATGGATTCTTTTATCTATACTTTACTTGTGGAGAAAAAGAGTATTGAGGATTTCTTCTAGAGATATGCTGACTTGCCCAAAAGTAAAGGGAGTAATTTACGGACAGGGACAACTGAGTATTTCCCTCTTTATATTGCAGTGCATTTGCTTCAACTTAAATATATCCTTTAAAATATTACATCAGCTTATGTTACATTGACAGTGACAAATTCCTAAGGCAATAGAATATATAATGTTTTAAGTCAGCTTCTGAAACCAGGGCACAGTGAACATAACCATAAATGTTCAGTTTTGCATAGTTATTTTTGTTGGCAGATTTCTCACTTTCTCAGAAAACTAGCTCATGCAGTATAGGGTCAGATCCCAGCCCTGCATCTTCCTGTAGGCACTTCCATGGGCTCAGTCCTGACATGGCTAGAGTCTTACTGGAGGTGTTGCCTATTTAAATGATTGAAGGCTGTAGACATTGATTTTAATCAAGACTTCAGTGTTACTCAAAATGTTCTAAAAAGTATTTTCCTAGTTCTGTTTAAAAATATCACGTTGAATTTTCCTAGAGATTCAAATTATATCAGGGTAGAAATCCAGGATAATGCTATTGTATGTAAATGATTCTTAAAATGCAGGGTAAGTGGAAATTAGGGCATCTCTCGATGTAATGGCTGGATGCATTTATCTGTCAAAATAAATACTAGATGTATTAACTACTGGATGCTTAATGTCTTGATAACAGAAGAACAAACTGTCTTTTATTACCTTAATTTTTCCCTTAGTGTACTCAATGGTATGTTTCACTTTTACTGGCTCAGGTACAGTAATTGTTGAAAAGCATCTTTGATAATACTGTATAAATTAAAGCACGGGAGTTCACACATTCCTCTATTTAAGTCTCATTACTCAGTTGTTTGCTTTATAGTGACTGTTGAGGAACTGGTATTTTATCAATTTTTGAGAACTTACTCTTAGAAATCAAAGTAAAATAAGCTATGTATTTGGAACATGCTGAGAGATGTGTCCTTTGGCGATATGACTAAATATTACTTCTTTGGCATGACTGTCTAAATAGATTAGAATAGTTGAGAGTAGGATAGTTTGATGGGTGGATATCCGTACGGTTCCTTTGATGAGGCCTTCTATGCATCACATGCTGAATGTCTTATAATGTGTGCTGTTGGAGCCATGCAAGAGAGTGGTAATAGAAAGCCTATATGCCTAGATACAGTCACTATAAAGGTGTTTTGAGAAGGGGGAAAGATTCTGGACCATATTTTGCTTTTTTTTTTTTTTAATCCATGTGTGTAATTGAAGAGACCAGAGAGGTGGCTGACATTACCCTCAGTAACTCTCTATACCTTAGGGTTTTTTGTAGCACTCCTGTAGGGTAACGAGAGGTCTGAGACGAAGTTATTTCAGTCTGCAGAGGAATCACATAAGCTATTTCTCTTTGGTTTTCCATTTCACACATTATGTCCTTGTTTGATTATCATGCTGAGTAAACCAGTGGTTGAGTTTTGCCTGACTTGTGTTAAAATCATCAAGTTTTGCCTAGCCTCAATCCAAGGCTGTAAAGCAGATCAGACTCAATCAAAACTTGCTTCGGTCCGCTTGAGAAGTTCATGAATTTTTGTCAGAACTAATCTGTCATTTTTGCACAATGTTACAAAAATCCTGAATGCCTATAATACTTGTGTATCACATTTACTTCTGCTTAAGTTTATGTAAAAGAGTTTGTGATATTCTCTAAAATTTTCACAGTATTCTCAGTGGATTGTTTTGAATACATGAGCTTTTCAGTTTTCGTATAGTAATGTAATTAGGATGTCATGTGGATGTTTTAGTGCACTTGTATTTCTATGCATGCTCCTGATATAAGATGGTTTTTGGTGTTAAAAATTTATTTGATAAACGCATACATAATGAAATGGTACTGATCCTTTTGGTGTTCAGTATTGGTCTTTGCAGTATAAGGGAAAAAATAAGATTTAAGATAATTGATGGAAATTTTGGGGTTTTTTTGATTATAGATTACTCCTTAAAAGATTTTGTTTGCTCAGGAGCTATGTACAAATGCTGTGGACTTTAACACTGCTATTGACTAGCTCCTCTACCTTCTTCTTACTTGCCAAACCACAGTACAAACCTAAAAAATGTTTTATGTTTCCTTGACTGAAAGCTATTCTATAGGGACCACAGGTTGTTGATGTCCACAAGAAAGTACCACAAAGTGAAAAATGAAATTCCCATTCCTTTCTTTGTGATTTTTTTAAAAAAATATTTATTAGCCATATAACTTAAATTCAAAGTGCAGAAAATACGTTGTTTGTTGTTATCATATGCACGTATGATGAAATGATAAGAGATAGGAAATGTTATAAAATATTTTCTTTTATATATAATATGTCTTAACTGTTTGGTGCTAGATAGCCAGTTACAAAATATTGCTGTTTCCACCTTTAGCTTTTATGGAAGTTTTTAAGATAAAAAAAAAAAAGCTTAAAACATTAGGAAAATATATAGAAAAGAAAAACTGGTATTTAATAAATGGATGTAAAAAACCACACAAGCATCAAATAGTGTCAGAAAAAGGGACAGTTAAGAATTCATGGGCTTGTGTATAAAATTAGATTCTGGGTCAGTGCAAGTCAGGAGAATTTAGTCTCAATAAAATCATAGATGCAACCAAAATGACAAGACTTAGAGTGAATGGTTTGTAACCTATGTCATCACATTCTGTGGCCTCGGTGTAAAGGCCAGAAAGGCCAGTATTGTGTATCAATAAAGAACAAAATCTAGCCTTATAGGTGTAGAACACCTCCAAGAAAGTACTGCCTGCAAAATAATGAAGAAAGTTAATTTCTATGAGACGGTCATTCTAATGATCTCCACCTTTGCTTTGCCAGCTGAATTTTTCTTCATACAATAAAGTAATGTCTGTAAACTAAAATGAATGGAGTAACATGCAGAAAGTGATATCCTTTTACAAAAGACTTTGAATGACTTCCAGATGCCAATGCCAATACAAGTCACAATCAAAGTGACCCTATAGTTAATGGTAGTAAATTTTCACAGAAAGATGCCCTGAAGCAAATGGATATTTCAGCCAATAAGTCTGATGTTTTGATCTTTCTGAATCAAGTGCTTTACTTTTGGCACATGCATTCATCTCTAAGGAACTACACTCCTTTACTGAAAATATTAAAAGCATTTAAGAAGTAGGAAAAGCAGTGTGGTATAGTATGGATGATGAGCCAAGCTGGCAATGGCTTGGAAGGTATGGGGAAAGTGAGAGTGAGACCTAGTGTATAGGATCATGAGTTTGTGGGGTTAACTTCAGCTGTACTGGGTCCAGGTGCCATACTACGTGTACTTTTATGCTAAGAAGGACTTCTTTTTTTCTGTATAGGCTTCAGCAGAAAGACACGAGTGCCAAATTCAGAATTAATATGATTTATTGCTACAGGGAAGCAGTGTGCTGCAGCACTTGTACATAAGATGGATGAGGCAGGGTGTGCATCTTCTCTAACACGTGTATTGCTTCTTTGTACAGCTGCACTTGTCCCATCTAAGAAAAAGCTTTCAGGATCACAGAGTCACTGTCTCTTTCGAGGGGAGAGTTGTAAAAAGTAGGAGGAAAGTCACTTGGGCTAAATGTGCCTCCATGCTGACACAGATTTTTGAAAATTCGTTTGGGCTTATCCATGCTTTAATAAGAAAGCAGTGGGAAGGTGAAACTGCATTGTGGAAGTCTGGTGGACTGTACGCTGGGTGCCCAGCATTGCTGTTTTGTTCTGTGTCATTTCATTAAGGATCATTGCACCTGCTATTAATTGCTATGTAGGTTATTAATAATGAAAGAGTTTTCAAAATCTAGTTTATTTCTCTTGTTTCTGTCCGTTCCAACAATGGCTATAGATTAATCATGTTGCTGAATCAATTTGTGATCTATTTATTCTCTTCACTTATTAACTGTTCTAAAAATCTTCTTTTCTGTTTTAATGTTCCTTCATTGTGTATTGATATGTGTGGTTAAAAATAAGAAAACTGAGTTGCTCATAGGCAGATTCCAGTTGACTTTACCTTCACGGTCTTTCTTCTTTTTATTTTCAAATGTGGTAAATGTTGGGCAGATGTAGATGAGGACATAGTCTGTGCCCTCAAGAAAGAGTAGAAACAAAGCCATGAAAGCACTTGAGTTTCTGAGACATGAAATACAAAAAAAATAAAGTCAGTGATTGGTACGTAGCTTGCTACTTCTACATGTGTTTGTTGGATTAAAGATAAAAATGTGTAGTTTGGTGCAGTACTTGCAAACAAGGATTTTTAGGAGTGATTAGGATTACTCAAATGGTTCTCCAGCATGCTGCAGTGTCTGCACTCGAGAGCTGGCAGGGCAGTGTTCTTTGTTTAAAACAACTTTAAAATCCCACTCAAAAAGAATTGTCTTATACCAACTACTGTTACTAGTAACAGCTAAGAATAATTGAGTGTCAGTAAAGGAAGATGCTTTTCCTTATCTCTCTATATATATCCCCACCCCCCCTCCACCTGCCCTGGATTTGTTTACTTTCTGCATTTGACAGCAGTTTGTGTCTTCTCAGTTGCAATGTTTTCCCTGTATTGTCAGCCAGCCTGTTTCCCTGTTGTTTATGTGGGTACTTCACACTACATCAAGAGAAGAAATGTTTGAAAAAGGGGAAATTAAATTTTTACTCCACAAAAAAAACACCCACAGGTGGGGGAGAAGTAAAATCTGGGGCAAGTGTGGTAACTGTTGCTGCATATAATTTATTAATAATGCACTTAATTCATTAAAAAGAAATGAAACAATCTGCAAGTTGACAGTGTCAGTTCTGTAAACCTGTGAAAAAAATCTATATGTGATAATGCTATATGGTAACTGCTAATGACTAAGTAATATTTCAATCTCTTTTAGGATCAGAGTCACACACAAGTTTCCCAATATCGCCAGGATCACTCTCTGATTATGAGATCTATTGTCCATATGACTGATGCTGCTCATTCGGGAATTATGCCTCCTTCTCAGCTAACCACCATTAACCAGTCTCAGCTAAGTGCACAGCTGGGGCTAAATTTAGGAGGCACTAATTTGCCACACACTTCTCCCTCCCCTCCTGCAAGTAAATCAGCCACTCCTTCCCCATCCAGCTCTATAAATGAAGAAGATGCAGATGAATCAAATAGAGTAAGTTATTCCATGCACTGTAGTAAGGTTTACATGTCTATATGCTGTAATTTCCTGAATGTGGCAATATCATCTCAGCTGCAGTGTGGTCATGTAAGGTACAAATGTTACAGTATAGTGGAATATGATTAATTTGCTGTTTAGCTTCTTTACTTAAGAAGTTTCCATAATATGTTCATAATAATAAATGTAAGAATATACATACTCACATATATATATTTGGTCTAATACATTCATAATTAATTTCAGATTTTATAGATCTGGTGAATCTCTTTACTCATCAACTTTGGACAGTTTTGTCATTTTGGTATTCTCTGGGGTCATATAAAACATAGACGCATTTAGATAGAAATAAAATAAGCACTCTTCTGACTCTAAGTTTAGTTAATTTACATTTTGCTTTAAATAAAACTGTTATAAAAGGAAAATTTTATCAACAAAATAAAGCATAAATGTTCTTATAGCACAAATGTTCTTATAGCAATGTATTTAAAGGGCCTAATTTAGACTGTACCATGAAAGGTTTTCTCATTAACTTAATGGAAATTGTGCATATGGAAAGATCATTGTACAGGATCCTCAGAATATCAGAGTAAAATGAATGTCTTAGAGTTATATTTAGTGCCACTTTATCCCCTCGTTGCAATAACCTGTGCATAGTTCAACACAAGAGGGTACAGGACGTGAGGCGTACGCAGGGGCCGGAGGTTCCCCTTAGTCCCGCGTGTGGTGCTCGGGGGTTCCCCGTCCCAGGGGAAAGAGGGAGGTGTGGGGTCAGACCAGGGCTGGCAGTGACCCGGGGTACTGGAGGTACCTGGGGGGCAGGGGGGGTGTTTGCTGCAGGTGGATACAAACTGCAGAGTAGCTGCCACTTTTTGCCCAAAGGGTGGGATTTTTAACCCCTGACCCGTGTCTAAATTGGCAGTCTAAGTCTGGGAATCGGGAAATGCCTCCAAGCTCTTGCCTTTTGAGTCTCTGCTGCTGAAATTACATCTTAATGGAAAAACATAGATTGGCTATTCAAAATATACGCTAGATTAAATCTTTTTTTTTTTTTTTTTTTAATACAAATTAGCATTGAGGTGTACTTTTTCAGGTCAAGCTCCTTGGATTTGACTATCTGAGCCGTGCTTACAATGAGCGGTAACTATTCATGCATTTAGTTCCAGTAGATCTGATGAGATTAAGCTGAGACTAAGTACTCGTTGGTAGGTGAAACGCTTGCACAACAGGACTCTACGAAATGTTGTCTACAGAGTAGCTTTATCCATATATTGTTAAGACAGACTGTCGATATTTTTTTGGAATTAATCTGATTTATTTCATGCATATATTGACTGTTCTTGTTATTACCGTTTCTTAGGCTACTGGAGAAAAAAGAGCTGCCCCAGATTCTGGCAAGAAGCCCAAGACTCCAAAGAAGAAGAAAAAGAAAGATCCCAATGAGCCACAAAAGCCAGTGTCAGCATATGCCCTTTTCTTCAGGGATACACAAGCTGCCATTAAAGGGCAGAACCCGAATGCCACATTTGGAGAGGTTTCAAAAATAGTGGCATCTATGTGGGACAGTTTAGGAGAAGAACAAAAACAGGTAAAAAATTGATGCAGGGTTGTCTCACGAGAAGTAAAATAGTAATCCTTGTAAAAAATCCTACCTCTGCTCTGAGTGGACCACACTACTTGCTGATGTAGCCCTCTTACTCTGTAGAGCAACATTGATTTTTGAACTTACTGAAGACCTGGCATCTAACCAGCATTTTGTTATAAGAGTCAGTAGGTAGTACTAAATGGCTGTATTTGTCTTTAAATTTTAAAAAGGGCAGTTTGTAAAAAAAGCTCAGGTGATATTGTCCTAGAGTCCTGTTAAGGCCATCTTTTGATGATTCCTTTTCAAAGCTCTTGTTTCCTATTAATCAGAAGTTAGAAGAGAAAAGGGGAAGGTACAGCACATTTACCATTTTCCTTTGATCTGCCTTATGAATTTCTTACAAAGCGTGTTGATTTCCAACCTTTGAAGCCAATCCTCTGTGCCTCATTACAATGTCATATGTGAAATGTTATCTCCAACTCAAACTTGGTACAGAATGATGAGTTTTGTTCTTCCTTGAGGGTTATTCTTCTTTCTATACACATGTAACTCCTACACACGAACTGAAGGAAAAAAATTAAAATCCTTTGAGGCTTTTTGCCTCTTGATACTCCATGTAGCTCCCAGTAACAGTTAATGGAAGTTGAGATGGAAGAGTAGATTCCCGCATAGGACACCCTCTGGCAAGATATGTATGATACTTGTTTGCGAAGTACATTTGGAAACTTTTAGTCTGATCTAACAGATGATGGTGAACATGAATTAAAGGTGAACTTTAAATTTACCAATGACTAGAAATACAGATCAGTTAATTTTTGCCTAACTGTTCCTGTTTAACTCAATGGTATTCTCTCGTATTGGCTTTGGGAAAGTGAATTGTCCAAGTTATAAGAACTACCTTTTCTGAAAGTATAAAGATTTTTTTAATAGTTCGAATATTTGTTTTAAAAAAAATACTACATAGGCATTTTTTGCTATTTTATATTATTGCAGATACTTTTCAGCATCTGAAATACTCAGTCTTCTAATTATCCTTGTTACTTAGAGTCATTAAAATACAATTTCCTGGGGAGGTAAAGTGTGCATAGGTAGTCTTGTCAAACAGTTGGCTGCTGCTTTATCAGCTTTTTTTATTCATGATAAATCAACATAAATTGTGGTGCAATTCCAGTGAGTAGACCTGAAAGTCTGTAACCACCTGCAAGAATATTTAGGTCTTTCAGGAAAGAAAAAGCACATCTAACAGTAGAATGTTTTCAGGTTTTTTGGTTTGTGTTTTTTGTTTCTTTGCAAGTGATTTTGACAGCATTCTGGCAAAAACATCTTAATAATTGAATCTAGTGAAATTGTGGTCTCTTTTTAATAGGTATATAAAAGAAAAACTGAAGCTGCCAAAAAAGAATACCTAAAGGCACTTGCTGCCTATAGAGCAAGCCTTGTTTCTAAGGTAAGCCTAATAATACCTTCAATGTAATGCAAATTAGCTTTTGGCAATGGTATTTAAATACTGGGGGTGGGGGTCTGGTGTTACACAAAATAAAAGTAGAATCCTAAGATTTCTGTAATACCAAATCTACAAGATATTGTTCTGCTGCTTGAACCTGGTTAGTCTCTGAAAAAAAAAAATAAAAAAAATCTCTCTGATGACACAGTAATGACTACCAAACAATAACTTTGTAAATGTACATATTCCTTTATCTATGGAAGCAAAATAATGCACTTCACTACAGAAGTAAAATTCAGTCATGAAAAATATACTGATCTTTTGACATTAATATTTGCAAGATATTCGCAGAGTTTTGTTTTTCCTCAAGTGCTATTTCTCAAAAGACAGACTTGCTTTGCATGGAGCTGGAGAGCACTTATTGTATGACAAAGCTTAAGTATTTCTTGCAGGTGAGGGGAAAAAAATGTGTGATGGTTCTGAATTTGGAGAGTGCTTACAAATGGACTAGCTGGCAGTGAGCCACATAGAGTATTTTAGTGCATCCCAAGTTAAAATAAAACTTGTGAAGAAAACAAAGCTCTGTTCTCTTATTTGAGAATTTACCTTCCTAACTAGCAGCACTACACTGGTTGTAGACCTGTTGCATCTGAATACCATAAATGGAAATATGCTTACGGACACCTAAAATATGGATAAAAAATAATCAACATGGTTATTTCTCTAATAATATTTCATAAAGATCAGTTACAAAATTATCTTTGATCAGAAGAGTGCAACAGAAGAAAGTGATATCTAACTCCTGAGAATATTTATTTGAATGTACAACTGCAGAGCATTACTAAATCACACAGAATTAATGATTAAAAATACAACAGCAGAAATTACATTCATTCTTGAAAGCTGGAAGATTTCTTATCCTTGTGTTGAGAAGCTGGATTTTTCTGTTGTATTTAAGACTCAGATAATATTCTCAAAGCCTTTAGTATCATAATGCTAAGTTCAATGCCAGCTGAAATTCTAAATACATTTGAGAGAATTTGTCAGTCCTAAATTCCCTTTTCAAAATCATCAGAAATTATATTTTCTCTCCAAATCTGTGGGACGTCAGCTGACAAGTAACTTGTGGGAAACTGTGCGTGGAATTTACACTCTAAGTCCAGTATTCATCTCATCTCCTCTAATTTAAGACATTCTCAATGTAGCTTTTTCATCCAAGGTGGTTGCTGAGAGTAGGGATGGAATAGACATTTCTGCAGCACGGTTTGACACATTCTAAGGTAAATGTCTAAAACGTGTCAGCTAACTGTGCTGGAAGAGAGTTTTTCTCTCTGTTGTCTTTAGATAGGGATTCTAGACAGGTATTCTACATGTCGTGTAAAATGCAGATGTGTAAAACTATGAAAGGCAAACCCTACCTTTGGTGCTTCAATATATCTAATGTAAACATACACAGTATTTTTAAATATACCTAATGAAACTATGCCTTCAGAGCACCAGAACACCTAATTTATGACAATAGGCCTCTTTGGACTGTAGTTTTCCTGCAGGTGTGTCTCATCAGAAACCTCCAGGACACTGGAAGTAGGCAGGATTCCCGAAGCAGGGCACCCCACCGCTGCAGCTGTACCCCTTCCAATGTATTCAGCTGTGCACCTCCAGAGTGTTCCCTTAGGCTTGTGTCTGTTGTAGATACCTAGGTCTTGATGCCTTAGGTACAAAGAACTACAATAAGCAATTTTTAAAAGTTGTTTGAGAAGTTTTGTTATTTGTTCACTACTCTAATGCCATGGTAACTGGTGCAAGGGGATATGCTTCTGCTCAGATTTGTCTCCCAAAGAACAGGGGGTTTTTTGAAAACATATGAATATAGAAAGTACTGGGCCCTTTTTAGTTCTTTTAGCCACAAAATGTACGTGACGTTTGTGACTTCCTGATGTTGAACAAGGGCATGGATTAGTTTTTTATCCAAGTAAGAATTGGAGGTACTGTATACAAAGACAGATGAAGAGGTGATATAGTGGCTCAGTGGATCAGTGATCTTTTTTACGATACTGATTGATCTTTTCTGATAGAAAACAAAATATGAAAAAGTCTTCCCCAGTGGCTGTGACTTTTATTTCCATGTAAACAGTACCAATGTTTTTTCTGTTAAAAATACCATTAATTTATTTTCCAAACACAGGCTGCTGCAGAATCTGCTGAGGCCCAGACAATTCGTTCTGTCCAGCAAACGTTGGCATCCACAAATTTGTCTTCCTCCCTCATTCTGAATACTTCCCTTTCTCAACATGCAACAGTATCGGCATCTCCTCAAACTCTTCAGCAGTCCCTTCCCAGAGCAATTGCTCCAAAACCTTTAACCATGAGACTGCCAATGAATCAGATTGTAGCTTCTGTTACTGTTGCACCAAACATGCCAACAAACGTTGCAGCTCCATTGATAAGCTCTATGGGAACAAATATGGTGGCAACGCCATCTTCATCTCAAGTCAGTCCCTCCATGCAAAGCCAGCAGCACCAGATACAGCAGCTCCAGCAGCAGCAGATGCAGCAGATGCAACAGCAGCAACTACATCAGCATCAAATGCATCAGCAAATACAGCAACAAATGCAACAACAGCATTTTCAGCACCACATGCAACAACATTTGCAGCAGCAGCAGCATCTTCAGCAGCAAATTAATCAACAGCAACTACAACAGCAACTGCAGCACATACAGCTTCAGCAAATGCAACAGCAGCAAATGCAGCATATGCAACACCAGTCACAGCCTTCTCCTCAGCAGCATTCTCCAGTAGCCTCTCAGATCACTTCTCCCATCCCTGCCATTGGGAGCCCTCAGCCAGCACCTCAGCAGCACCAGTCACAAATACAATCTCAGACACAGACTCAAGTATTATCGCAGGTCAGTATTTTCTGAAGATAAATGATCTTGCAACATGGCTTTGTGTTGATGGAGGGGGTAGGGGTAAACCATATTTGGCTGAAAACTGTAAATTGTTGATGGTAGTTATGCAGGGATGCATAACAGATCGAATGATCCTCTAAAGTGTCTATTAGATAGGCAATAAAGAACTACAATGTAGCTGTGTATCATCTTTTAGCTGACTATAAATCATTTTGTTTAAAAAAAAAAAAAAAAAAAGCTGTGCTCTTTTTCATGTGTTGCCTTTTTAATTTATTTAAGCTTTACCTACAATATGTGAATCAAATGGCCTAATAAATACCTGGACCTTATGACTGCAAAATGGCCTTTCAGAGTTATGTGATATAACCCTTCTTTCTCTAAAAGTGAATAATGCACTTCAAGGCAGTATGAACTCATGAAGCCCTTAAAGCACAGTTGTAACTACCTGTAAAATGATGATTGGATTTCATACAATCATACTTGTATGACATGAGTTAGTTGATGGCATTTTTTGTCATGAAAAAATAGAGTAAATCACAGATTTTTGCCAAAGCTCTTAATTTTTTTCTCTCCTAAATGTCTTCAGAAAAACAAATGCAAGTAACTGAACTTAAATGTTTGACCCAACCTTTCACTTCATTTCTTCAAATAAACCTACCATAGTTTGTAAGAAAATATATATTGACATTTACCCTCTTACGTTAATTCCAGTTGCAGAACAAATGTGAATATTATATTCTGTGTCGAAGTGATGAGTTTCAGATTTAATACACTGTATTTTTAAAAGGGAAATGCACTTAAATAAAGCTGTTATTACAGAAAGCTAAGATGAAAAATGCAAGAGTTTTTAATATGCTGTAAAACCCGTAGAATATTTAAATGAAACTCCACAACCGAATAATCAATGTAAATATTTTCTTTAAAAGTTGTAAGTTTTCATATCATGTGTTGTAAAGTTTTCATAAATGAGGCTTTAATGTAAACACTGGTAACATGAATTATTAATTGCTACATTGCTTATTGTGTTTTTATGCTGTTTTATACTTTTTTATGAGTTATGATAGCAGCAATTAAGTTGTTTGTATTTTGCTTATCTAAAATAAATGCTTTTATCTTGCTATAGAATAAACACATTTCAGTAAAATTGATGAGCCATAAGTCTTTGATAGAAAAAACAGAAATGTTTCCTTACACAAATGCTTTCCTGGAAAATTTATTTAACTTTTTGGCTTTTTATCAGACATACTGGGTAAGCAGATACCAATCGGAACCAAGACCAGCTCTTGTGTCCATTACGATGCACAACTGAAGAGTCGTGTACAACTTCTCTGATGTTTCTGTGACTTCAGAGAGAGAAAGCAGGTGGTAGAGTTACAAAGCATTAGTGGTACCCTGTGTTACATTTATCTGCAGGAACAGGATAGTGAACCAGTCTCCCAGCAGTTGTGTTCAGAGTTGCAAATAAGCGCAAATTGTGTTTTTCTTTGTATCTTTGAATTTCAGATGTAAATGCAACTACTGCTGTGGACTTCCCATCTACAAGCCTCCAATTCAGATTCAGGCTGATCCTAAGTTGTCTGACTTTTATTTTATCATAATAGTAGGACATGATAATGGTGGGATGGAGAGGGCAGGTATTTCATATGAAGGATTTGGAAACAGTCACATCCAATGTGTTGTCAGGTTATTAGTGCTGTTCATATATTTTCACTCTGGACAGAAAGGAGAAATCCTTTATTTTCTTCTTTTCCTTCTTTGCCTGCAATGTCTGTGCTGTGAGTGCAATCTGACCACTATCCCCAGTTGTCTTGCATGATTAATTACAGCATCTGTCCTGTCAGAAGCTATAATGAAGAGGTCTTGATAAAAATTGCAAATTACCACTGGCAACAATCTTAAACTGCTTATGATAAAATGAAAATTAAAAACAGCAAGTGTCAAACCTGAACAGAATCCTAATCCTGTTTGAGGCGGTGTCCATGGCTACCACACTCAGACCACAACCAAAAAATAATGGAATATAGATCCCCAAAAAGTTGCAGCCAGACTTGAGGGAAAAGGTACTATACCATGTGAGTTTATTAATAATGAATTCAGCTTTCAATATTTCATCGTCCTCAGGTACTCTGTTTATTATGTACAAATATTGAACAGCAAGAGATTCTAATTATAAATTTATAGATTTCTTGGAGCAGAAAAAATCATGTATAAATTGAAGCTTTTCATAATAGGTGTTAGTTGACAGCTACCCATGGTCCTAATAGCCTTAGTATGATCTCTAATAATGTCTGGGATGGAGGATGTTTATTTCAAGCATCCTGCTCGCATTCAAAATGGCACGAAAGAGGCTGGTTGGGAGAGATTTTTGTGTGTGTCAGTTTTAACCAATGTTACATAACAAAGGGAACCATTTTATAGTCGTTTTGAAACCTTTAGACAAATGTCTTCAGAAATAATTGCTAAACTGCATGTGACAGTAATTGTGTATTAGTTCTATAATTGTCATTTTGAAGACCTATGAAGTATCGTTGGAAAAATGTCACTAGCGATAAGAGTTAATTACAACTGAAGTCTGTTTTCAACTATTTGCAGCGAGAAGCAGGTGTTATTACACTCATTAAATGGTTTCATAAATCCTGGGTTTTATCACATTTGATTAAGAGCTGCTGAACTACTGATGGTCAATTCCAGGAAAAATAGTTTTAATTACTGCAGCTAAAAAAAAATAATCATCAAGTGGGACTGTACATTTTAAATATCAAAATTTGAATCTTGAAAAACTGGAGCATCCCCCTGCTTGCTAGAAAATTATATTTTACATTACCCACAATAGCATATTGCAGAACATCTTGTGTTTCAAACTGTGCAAGTTGGTGTTCGTATTCCCTAAGTCTAAGTGAATAACTTTGCTATCATAGGTCATAAATAAAACTGTTAATTTAAATCATTTAATATGCAGCTTATACTGGAAAAATGCAGTATCCGTATGATTTCAGTGTTTTGCACAGTTTAAAGAATGTTTTCCTTCATATCATTTACAGGCATTTAACTGCTCCCCTCTTTTCCCAAGGTTTCAGATGCTTTATCACCTCGGTTAACCACATTCTACTTTCACATTAACCCAGGTTGACACATGATGAAAGAACATAAGGAGGTTTAATTTTTAGCTGACACAGGGTCATTAGTTTCTAACTTGGAGAACAAAGCCTTTAAATACCTCTATGCAACATAATCTCAATTTTATATTATCACCTGACCATTGTGGTTTGCAGGACAGATGGATTAAATATCTCAAGTTTAACCAGAAGTCTTGCACTGACTCTTTTCAATGGGGATTGGCTATTTGAATGGCTCCTTTTCCATTTCTCACTTCATGGAGTATTTTGCAGCACTGGACTTCATTCTAACCTTTCCCTCCCCCCTTTGTTTGGCTTTTGTTTTGCAACAGCTGTTATTATCGTTTTTGGTCAGCTGTGATTGCTGGAGGCAAAATAGGACCAGATGGTGTTTTGCTATGCATGAATGGCGAGTTAGAGGAGTTTAGATTGAATAGGCCAAGTTTGAATGGTGTCTATGCACCACCTGCCCTCTTCAGCAGCAGCATACACATCATAGGAGCATGATCTGTCTCAGACCTACTAGAATTGGATGGGAATGGAGAGAGCCTCGTTGGATTTTCTCCATATTTATTGATCTTCCATGCACTAACAGCATAATGCAGTACACAGTCAATTTGAGTTAATTGGATATGACACAGCATGTACATGTAATCTATCACTGTAGTCTCCTGGTACACTTTAGATTTTGCTGCCACAAGAACATGCAGTATTAGCCTGCATTAATAGGCTAAGTGGATGGAAGTAAAACAGGATCATTGTGTAGGGCTTGATTTAACAAAATATACTGTAGTTTTAAAATTACACCCTTGAAACTGCCAGAGATGCAGTTAAATGTGAACATTTTGGATTTGATAGACTGGACTGAGTATTTGGGCACAGAACAAAATATACCTCATTCCCATACTTTTCTGAGAGGTTTGCCAGTGAAATTGAAATGAACAGTTGACTAAAAAGTAGGGAACAGCATCAGTAGTGATGAGCTGGTGCTGTTCAGAAAGGGGCATGTGTTCACGTGGAGGAATCTACTTGGTAGCAGAAGGAATATTATATTAAGCAAGTTCTGATTACCAGCTTCTAAAACACTGACATGAAATTAGGCATCCAAATTGTGTTTAGAGTAGCAAAGGGCCACTTTGGTCTCCTGAAAGTTGTCATAGATGTAGAATTTAAATGTTACAGAAATTTTAGATCTGTTGTATCCTCCGTTAAGGTTGACTGAAAGGCATTGGGTATTCAAGAGTTGTATGTCTGAATGTTATGGAATAAAATACATATGTTACAAATAATGAATAAAATATATAACAATCACATATAATACATAAATTACTTGAATTTTTATATCAATTGGATGTTTAAAAGCCTGCTTATGTATGTAACTGGGGGTTGCGATCATGCTCTGCCTAAGTTGGCAGGAGCTGCTTACTCCATGTCTTTGTCTGTGGTGTCAGGTAGCTGAGTGAGCTACTTTATTATGAAAATTGCATTCAACTGAAAAAATGCTAAATATTTTCAAGTGCCTGTGGGAAAATCTAGTTTTGTATTAAAGGATTTGGTTCTTAAAGTCACCAAGAAGTTAATGCTTCTCAGGTGCATCTGAGGGAGAGAGTTTTTGATTATAACACTAAAATCTTTCAGAAAATAATGTATTGCTTTGAATGAGCTGTTCTGACACTTCAGTAGGCTACGCTGGAGATTTATAATGTACTCTGTTTACCTCAGTTAAAAAGTAGAAGTGGTATTTTAAATAGTGGTTTTTCATCCAAGTTCTTGAAGCATTAACATCTTCAGCCCCCACACAAACCAAAGTAGTGCAGAGTTTTCTTACAAGGTTTGAAATGAAATGTATTTTACTCTTCTAGGTAAAAAAAAAAAAGTTGAACAGATAATTATACTTGATGTGTAGTAGTTATATGGGCATTTCCTACAGGTATCACTTATCACTTTCCCCTCTGGGAGTATCTTTATTGATACAGCCACCTTTGGTCTATTATTTTTTCCAAACTGGAGTTGTTACATTACTTTGACTCTGCTGCTCTAATTGAAACAGAAAGGCTTTGATCCAGCAAATCACTTAAAATGAGTGGATAATTCATGTATATAAGTAGTAATTTCATTAAAGTGACTACTCATATGCGCCGTTATACAGTTGCTCAAGTGCGTTCGTAGAGCAGGGGTCTAATTGCAAAACGTTGTATTTGTTTTCCAAACAATTCCAAGTAGCAATAATAAGAATAATCAGAACCTAAAAGTAACATAACCTAACAAATTTTCTGCATTTTTTTTTATTAAATTCTATCCTAAACAAGTCACAGGTCTGATTTTCAAGTACCGGTATCTAACCTTTGTGCTGGTTCAGTGACAACATATCATCATAAATGTGTAAAGAATTAACCACCTGCCTGGTGATTTGTATACTCAGTCATTTCAATAAGTTTCTACTGTGCACATGCCTGAAAACCTGTACCTGGATCAGCAGTCACAGCTCTTGACTGAGCAGATGCCTTGACCAAATATTTATATTTACAAAACAGAGGAGTAAAAGCAGGCAAACAAAGCACTATTATACTTACTGGCAATATTTGTGAAACCGAAAGGGTATAGTTACTGCAGCCTGGTTTATTTTTAATACTATATCCCATTGTGTACTGATAACAACCATACATATTGCATTAGCATAAAGTACATAAATAATAAATCCCATGTGTTATACTTTTCTTACTGGTGGTTATAGGTGCTTAATTTTGGAATTGGTTTTGGTGTTTCACAAATCATGAGAATTGACCATACAGCATGCATATTTAAAAAATACTAAGAAGCTGTACCATTGCTTAATTTATTTTTTGGTCCTCATTTTGGAAGTGATGAATATTCTGTGTCTGAAAATCACAGCTCACTTTTGAAAATTCTGCCATATCAACTGTTGATCAGGGGATTCTCACTGCTGCACCGATGTATGTGTGTATATATAAGCATAAACTGATAGTCATGAGCAATCCATGTATGTGTTCCAGCCTCATATGAAGGCACCTTTCCCCATGTGCCCTTAGCATGGGGCAGTGAGCATTTTGCTGTTGACTTCAGTGGTACCGAACCAAACATCTGTGGAGCTGTACTGTGGCAACAACAATTCCCTGTTCCTCCCA